CAAATGCATCTCTGCTGTCCATGCTATTACTTTCAAGGCCTATCATCTACAGATATGCAGTTACCACACCCTACCAGTTCTTCCACAAGAGGTACTTCCCTACCAGTAACCTTTTGCCAATGGTGGGTAGGACCACAAGTTTTGCGAGAAACGTTATAATGAGAAACTCTTTGGTAGAAGTTGGAGAAGGGTGTCCAAATGGCAGTGACAGTAGTAAAGTCCCCTTGATTCACGTCTGACCAGATTTTATAATGTACAATTTTTATATTTTTTTGCTTCAAAGTTTTTTTTTTTTCTTTAGATTGTTTTCAAGGCAATTGGAAGATATCTGTCCTGTGCTTTTTTCAGCTGTGACTGTTGTGTCTTTTAGCAAACTATGTCTAGGGGTGACTATAAGGCAGTGTAAAGCAGTAGCATCAGCCATTTGGAGCATTAGAAGAAACTGTTAGGAAGAAGCATGTTATGTTTTTCAGTAGAGCAACATCTTTCCATCTTTCTGGCATCTTTAACTGAAATCAGGAGATTGCGTATATTTTCTCAGAAAACACTGGTGGCAGAAATATTTATTATAAATGTCTTATCCTTTTTGTAATGATAAGGAATGAGAACCTCTTTAGATGTTAACACAGGGAGGATTAGCACTGGGGATTTGGGATAGCTGAGCTATAAAAATCTCTATTTCCGTGAAGGGAATAGCAGCAAGACTGTCCTGACTGTGTGCCAGAGAGCTAAGGGAAGAGGGTTCTGAGGGATCCTCAGAACACACGAGCCTTACAGTCTACACATGTGTCATGAGTTGAGGCTAGGCTGCCCACTAAATGAATGAGAGATACTATTAACCCCTCTCTCTTCCCAGAAGGGTCTGTCTCACTGCTTCTGCTTATTTTGCAGATGTCCTTCCTCTCTCTCCCCCTTGATTTGCCCTTTAGTACAGAGACATGGGTTTCCAGGGTTGCTGTGAACATTAGAACACATTAGTGGAGTCCAGAGATTTATGACACTTTCCTTTGCTGTTGCAACTCACTTTCTTTTGTTGGTTATGATGAATCACTTTGGGAATGTGACTTGGGGTGGAGTTGTAGGAAAAATGTGATACTTCACAGTTCTCTTTTTCTTGATAAGATTCTGTGGGTTTGGGGATATTTTCCCCTCTGTCCGAGTATTTGGTGACTTTGCAAGTTGTGGTAGCTTTGACAGTCTTTGATAAACTGCTCCTCCTTACAATAGGCTAACTTAGGACTTATCCAAAAATATAACAAGGGCTTCCAATACACAGCTGAGCTGGAGGAAGTAATTTCTATTACTTCTGTTATGCTGGTTGAGGAGCAGGTACAGAAAGCTGAAGAATGCTCAGCTTTTCAGAGCCTGATTGTATTAGAAGTCTGTATGATATATCAGATCTCCCACTTTTTGGCGTCAGGAAATACTAGTAGTTTTCTAACATCTCTATTTTGTGAAAGAAGTAAGCTTCTGTCCTGGTACAGTAGAAGAGACAAAGCAATAATGACTATTGAGGTGGGCTTTTTGTTTTATAGAGGGGCCACTGCATCCCTGGAACCCATGTGATGAGATTAGGTTTGATATTAGATACCTCAGTAATTGGACAAGACACCTAGTTTTAGCCACTTCTCTGGCATGAAGGCTCAGTGCCCTGCCCCATGTAGTATTGTTCTGCTTACAGACTTGATCTTGCAGAACTGATGATCTGGGGATACATGTCTGTTGCTGTAATTGTTTATAAACTAGCAGTCTTCCTCCAGGAGAGGATATGGAAGTCTTTCACAGTGGTCCTATCTGCTGGACCTTGAAGTGTGCTGTCTAAATTGCTTCAGTGCCCCTTTGATTGTCTTGTCCTTCCTGCACCACACTGCAGTAAGTACTTCCTAGCCAGAGCTGTGGAGTAGACTACAGTCCAAAGTTAGGCTTTAGCCTAGAATTAGACTTTTATTGCCTCTAATAACACTGAGTGATCTATTGCCTTTTAACACACATTCTTTGCTCAGGACAGGCATCAGAGCTGCAGGAACAGTCCTGTGACAGAGAAATAGTGGAATTTCCTATGGGCCATGGGGAAGCACCTGTAAGTGAGTAAGCAATTATCTCACCTCTTTGAGTGCCAACACTGTGGTTCTTGTATAAAAGACAAAAAAACTGATTCTGGGTTTGTTTTCACTAATGTAAACTCTGCTGTCTTATGGTGCTGGAGAATATAACAGGCTGCAGTTTGAACACTGCTGTTTCTCAGGGCAATCAGAAGCTCATGTTTGGATACTGGTAGTGTGTAGGCCAGTTTCATAATCTATGATTCAACATGCCCATTGATGCATTCCAAAAATCCACCACTGCTCACTTTGCCAAGCACTAAAATTAGGATTTGTGAAGCAAAGAGACATGTGAAGTAAACAAGCTCAAGATTTTTGTGACCTATAACATTATATTGGAGAGTTATCTGAACTATTCTGTTGTCGGGTGGGGGCTTGGTAGTAACTACAGGCTGCAAGACTCATGCAGTGTCCCATGCTCTTGTAAATGTACAGAATTAATTTTAAATATAGGAGGTTCTTGATTATGTGAAATTTTATTTCAGAACAAGTGTTTAGAAAACAATCATACAGGTTATAAATAGAACATATTTTAAATCTACATCACAGTGGCCATATAATATGGTGTGATGGCGGGTGTTGGGTGGTGGTTTTTGAGGGGGAGTGGTCTGGTTTTTCTGGCATAACACGATAAAGGGAGTTTTCAGTTGAGTAGCAGTCTCTTTCTACAGAGGAAACTTGCAGGGTGATGTTTATGCTTGGTTTAGTCATCAGAGGTGAAGTGCAAAATAATGGTAAGTCTGTTTTTCTACAATTGGAGGATATTTCTCATACTGAAGGAAGTCTTCAAGGTCAACAGCTACAATACCCGGAGAAGTTACATCACAAAACCACATCTGCACAAGACTGATCTTTTCCTGCCTCACGCACTCCCCCCCCCACCTTTTCCTTTTTGCACACACTGTCTCTCTCAGCTTAGGTGTTGATCACATCACTTGCAAGAGTACCACAGGTTTGATTTGCACTTCAGTTTACAGTGTTATTCAGCTGTTTAAAAGAGAAAAAACACCACCATCCACCCCACAAAAAAAAAAACAAAAACAAACTTTTTTTCCCCTAAATTCAAAGATCTCACTATATTCTTCTAATATGATGTGCATCCCCATGCTCAGTTTGTCCAGCTACTGTTTTTGCAATGGGAATTACGTTGTATTCTGACAATGGCAGCAGCATGTTCAGAACCTAGTCTGGGCTTGTGTGTTTCTGAGTTATCTACTATCAATCACGTGATAGTGTTTTGCTAACGACCAGGCCCAACAAAAATGATAGCACCAGCAGGAAGAGAATCCAATACACAAACTGTAAACAAAAACATTATGATATGAATGACCGCCGGGGGTACAAATAGGTCAACCAGCTCTTACATGATCAACGCCACCCCCAACGATCCCACAAAAGGTGCAACTTGGCCCACAACAGGTGGTACAAACAGTGAACCGAGGTTGCCCGTAGTCAGCATGGGAAACAGCCAGACCAGCCAGTTAAATTCATCAGAACAAGGAGCCCACATGGCACATCTGCCCACATGGCAACTCTCACCCGATCAACCCACGTTCACAAAGGTCTAAACAGACCAGGGCCCAGCTCCAGGGAGAGTCAGGAGGTCTGCCCTGAACCAGGAAGCTCTGGAGAGTGCACTCCACAGACAGACACTCCTGACTCCCTGCAAGTGGTCCCAGCTTTTATCCCCAAGCAGACACCTGACCTTTGTCAACTCAGTGCAGGACCCCTGGGGCTCATTTCCCTTCTGGCTCTCCCTGCAGGGCCGGCTGCACCCTGGGGGGAAGCTATAAGGCAAACTCACCACCTCTTTATGAAGGGCTGTGGGAATCACCCATATGTCAACCTTAATTCAGGGGCTCGGGGTTCAAACCCTGGCATTTCAGATAGTAGTGGGCATGGCAGCTCAGGCCTCTGTGTTGACCTGTATGTATATGAAGAAAAAAGCTTTTGGATGTTTAGCAAAATTTGCATGAAGGAAAAGAGAGAAGGCTAGATTTTAATTTTTTCAGGTCACTTTCTATTTCTATTTACTATGCAACTGAATGTTACTGGTACATGTAACGGTTTGGAAATCCCCAACATAATACATTTCTCTCTGCTTGGATTTTTTTCTTTTTTTGTTTGTGTATTTATGTGAAATTTCAGCACGAAGACTGTACTTTACAATCCTGTCTTTGAAGCGGTGTTTTTCATCAGTGTTTGTTTGCTTGGTGCAGCTTTAACTAGTGGCTGTTAATCTAAGGTCAGCTTGTCTTATAATGACAAGAACAAGGACATTCCTTAGAAGCCTACCAGTCCATTTTATTTGTTTTCCAACTTATTGGTGAGGTTTACTCTTGTTCCATCAACAGGATAGCAAAGAGGTTGCTCTACATAATCCCCATTGCTGTAGACCTTATTCTGTTTATACCCAAAACTCTGACTCAGTGCTGTTGAAGTCAGCTGCGTCTTGCCCTGGCTTCAGGTTGTTCTGAATCAGTCTATAAACCTAAAAGTCAAAGCTGCTTCTAACAAAGTAAACAATACCTTTTTCCTTCAGTTCCTAACAGAACTTGTGTTGTGGTTTAAGCCTGTTCATGTCTAATCATGTTCACTGGTGACCATTCCAAGCATCATATATTAGAGTAAAATTACCTAGGACTCAATGTTCCCTTGATTGCATTTGGTTTGTCAACAATTATTTCATTTAGAAAGGGTGGTGGCGTTCTGCCTTCCCTATTCCCTCACTCTGCAATTGGGAATGGTAGTTATGAAGAGGTGTAAACGTCATCCAGGTAGCTAGGTAACCCTTAGTACTTAAGAAGACAGGAATAAAAGCTGTTCTTCTTTTAGGTGTGGACAGCTATGAGATACGTTGGATTGGTTAGTGAAAGAAGTATTTGTAAAGCTGAAGATATGTGTTTTAGAAGGTGTACCAACCGTGCTGGTTATAAGTTGCTCGTCTTTGCTTTGCTCAGCATCGTGGCCAACATTGTACTTTATTTTCCCCATGGCGAGACAAGATATGCTGCAGAGCATCATCTCAGCAAATATGTGGAGTGCCTAAATGGCATTCTAGGTGGAGGCATTTTGGTAAGTAACAAACTCGCAGTTTCTTCCAAGTTTATTTTGGAGCTACTTGGTATTACTGTTTCTTTACCAGTTACATTAATTTATTGATCAAATATTTTGTCATCAAGAATCTCTGGAGTTCTATCAAAAGAAATTAGTTATATTACGCCATAGGTATTATTCGTTACTATCTTATCTGCAACATTGTGTCACTTTAAAACTGAAGAAATCCTAGGGTTGGGGTTGCAGAATCCAAATGCAAAACTGGAACTGAGATTATTGGCAGGTCACAGTTTGCGTAAAGGGTTAAATCTTACAGTTTTGTTGCATTATTGAACTGTCCTCCTTTCAAACATTCCTAAATAACTAGCATTTAGTTAAAATTCCTTAATTTCTTTTATCTGAGATGTTGGCAGTTATTTCTCTGCCTTAGCTCTTTGTGCAGAGGAACTGAGGGGCAGTTACCAAAGCTTTGCATTCAAATAACAGCAAAAGATGAAGAGCTGAGTATGTTCACTAGAGGACATTGTTAATCTGAAGATATTCTTTTCTACCTTTTCAATTTTGTGGACTACATTGTAGTATATTTAAGTTCCCTGACTGCAGACTTCCTTTTTCATTTGCTTTTAGAAGACATCTTAGAAGTAGGCTGCAGATCTCAAGGTGTCTGCAAATCACAGGTTGAAAAGGTTTGCATGATAAGGCCCTCTGTCTTGTGAGAGGTGCTTACAGCTGGGTTACAGTCCCACTGGAACCTAGACTGAGATTTGCAAAGACTGGTCTTTACACACAGTGTAATACAAGTGCAGTCAATGGAACTCTTCCTGGAAACACACTTGCGCAATCTCTTCTGGACCTGAAGCACTGGGGCCCAGAAATAGGTTTGAGTAAGGGGTGACAAGTATGTGACTCTTCAGATAGTTTTTATTTTAGTGGTTTTTTTTTTTTTTAATAAATCTGTGCAGTTCGCAGGTGACACTTTGCTCTTTATGGTTTTCTAAGGTAATCCTGATTGTAGAGCCTTTAAAAGTGCAAACTATTACTAAGTCCTGTTACAGCTGGAGGAGAGGAAACTCTGTTTAATCAGCTCTGCTCCTTCTTGATTTTATGCTGAAAGCTCTGGAGTATGAATGGTTTATGTTTCTTACAGACATCTTCTGCTTTCTTATTTTTCATTTCTGTCACTGGAAACTGGTTGTGAAAACCTAGAAAAAGCTAGATATAAGTCAATGTATGTTTACCTGAAATGGGTAAAATATTCCTAGACTTCCTACTCTAGACGGCCTGGTTTGTCACACAGTGATGACTACTCTTCAGTAACTAATATGTTTGTGGTAGTTGTTTTTTTTTTTAACAAATAATTAGGAGAGACTTATATTGTAGTCATCATTTGGCTACACAAATAAGTGTATTTGTTTCTTTTTTTTTGTGCAAAGCATTTTATTTGCAAGATATAGCATTTAATGTGAACAAAAGCTTTTAAAGCTGAAGTACATTAAATTGCAGCAATACCACAGCAGGCTCTTTATTGACAGGCTTTTTATGCACTTAAGTGCCATGTATACATCAAGTGGAAACAGAAATACACCTATCGTTGTGTTGGTGCTACTGATATGAGTAGTGAGACACTTACTTGCCAAGCAGGAGTAGAACTGAAAAATCTATACGGGCTGCTCCCTGCTCCCCTACCAGGAAGTACTGTAAATGAAAACAACGTGCGGACTGTGTTTTATCTGCCCTCTCTGTGCAACAAAATAAACCACTGTGGTTTGTTTGTTCCATACCTAGGTCCTCATCCCAGCTGCAGTCTTCATTTGCCTTTACAGTGAGGACTGCTGTGGGTGCTTTGGCCGTGAGGGCTGTGGGAAAGGCTGTGCGGTAAGTGAGCCTTTATGCTCCAGTCCCAGATAATCCCCATCCCATAATGATGACTATGTTGAAAGTTCATGTCTGTTTGCTGTGTAGATACTGTCTGCAGCGCTGTCAGCCTTTATTGGGATGCTTGGTTCTGGATACTGTGTCATCATTTCAGCACTGGGCTTGTCTTATGGACCATATTGTTTTAGTCGCCTACAAAGAAGGTGGATCTATCCTTTTGCTGATTCCTCTGGAAGGTAAGTTGCCTGTTGATGAGGATGTTACATCTTCCTCTATGAACACGTGGGCTTTATTCCTGTACCTTTCAGCACTAACTATATAACAAGATTAACACAAAAATTTTTGCATCTTGCTTGCTAAGAACTAAACAGATGGCATCAGTTACTCATGCTGCTATAGTTTAAAACCAGTGTAAATCCTCTGTCCTACAAAAGGAATCTGAGCATATATATAGGTAGTAATATCTATATACCACATAGTGTTCATGTCCATGAACATCTCTAACAAAGTGTAAAGCTTTAGGATGTTGAGGGATTTACAGACCGAATAGTGGTTATGAAATCTATCATTTGTGTAAAAATCTTGTTTTAGGAGGCTTGCTTCTGAAGTTGCTTTGTGTCAGTGTAAACTGGCATAATACCTTCATTAGTGGCAATGGTATAGAACCTTTGTAAATGAAACAAGAAAAGGTTTATAAGAATCTTTGTATGCTGTGGGGGTGGGGGGGCAGAAGCTCTTAATTGTCCTTAATTAGGGTTCTCCAGCAAACCAAGCCTATGTGGCTGAGTTGTATGCTATCCCACAATAATCCTCACAAATCCTATCGGCTGGAAGAGCATTTGGTTTGAGTCATGACATGCTTTTACGGTGTCTGTATGGTTGGCAACCTTGAGGCTGATGCCAGACTAGGGACACTGTGAGTACTAAGGAGCCACATAAAGCTCCTTTGCAGCAGAGAGTTTGAATTTTACATTTTGGTTGCATCTTTCCCAAGAAGGGGCATTCCTCCTCCCCCATTCCCCCAGCAGTGACTGAATATAGAAAAACTGAGTAAAGTTCTTGCTAATGGCTTCTCAGTGCTGATGTTCTGAAGATGCAGGTGAGGAGTAACAGCTGGAATACCATAGTACTCCTCTGAATTTGTCCTCTTTCACTTCTCTAGAGTAGGCAGGTGAGAGCCCAAAGACAGCAGCACAGGAGAGGAAATGACCCATTTGCCTCAGATCGGTAATTGCTGTCTTTAGAGTAAAGGCCCAGTCCTAGTTTTGCTCTTTCAGCTTTCATAAGCTTGTGTCTCACTTTAATCAGTCATAGAAGATTCTCCCTTCATAGGCAGAATATATATGCCTACGTTTTTGAGGTGTATTTTTAAAGAACTTAACAAAACTGTGTGCTTGATAGTTCAACACATTCTTAAGCAGAACAAACTTTGAATGGTATAATCCATTGTATTTTCTATTCCTACTTAGAGTGATTATCCTCAATGCAGTTACAGACTAGATATAATTTGATTCTAGTGTATGATGAGTATCCCACTCTGTCACAATTTTAATATGCTTTTAATTGTTTTGTACAGTTACTTGCTTGACTATGATAGGTGGTCTGAATGTCAAGAACCTTATAACATCGTGCAGTGGAACATTACCTTCTTTTCCCTCCTCATTGTCTTCGGAGTACTAGAGTTCCTTTTATGCCTCGCGCAGATAATCAGGGGCATGTTTGGAGGACTATGTGGGTTGTGCTGCAGTGATGAGGAGGTAAGCCCTTTGATTATAACCATGCTTCACAGACGAACATGAAACACTACTGTTGCTGATGCTACTGTGGAGTCTTACTCAGCAGCTTTTTGTTAGGTATTCTTAAGCAACAATTCAGTGTACAACTTTTTGTACAGACTTCTTGTGTTTAGCATTTTCATGTAGTATTTGACCACAAACTTTCAGATGATAGTTCCTCAGATGTCACAATGAAATTAGTCTGCACAAGAGCTGGAAGGCTTCCCCACCTCCCCGGCCTGTGGCACATGCTGTCATCAGCACTATATAGATGAGATAACTGAAATACAAATCTCCAAGTGGTGGTGGTCTTTGCCATAGCCTAAATCATTGGGGCTTAGTATGGTTCAGTTTCATGATAGGCTGCTTGTTCTAACTATACTGCTTTAGCCATGTGTTTTGCTCACAGTAGCTGATAGACTACTGAGAATATGCTGTATGTACTGAAAACTGCATAATTCTGGCCTTCCTTAGTAAAAGAGAGATAGGAGGAGTTAAATTGCACATAACTAACAAAACCTGCAAAGAGATTTGAAGAGTTTTTTGAAGATGGGGTATTTTTGAGTGAGGAAGGGGAATTTCCTCCTCATTTCTTTAGTCTTGTTAAAAAGTTCGAACATGCTGTTAAAATCAGTATTATAGAGGCAATGTTGGAATTGCAATGGCTTAAGGTATGAATCAGATATAATTTATATCACACACACTCATGGCTAAGAATGTGTTTCATGTTTTAATTGACATAGTTGAATGCTGGGAGTCTTCCAGAGCTGTTACTGTCTTCTCATTCCTGTCTTCCATTTAGTAACTGTGATATAGAAGAGCCATGTTATAACTATCTAAATGTGGTCAGGTTAATTTTAGCTCTTACAGTTGGATACAGTATTAGCATTCTTTCCCTTAATATGTGTCTCTTTCTTTTTGTTTCCCCCACAGACAAGTGTTTGCTAGAAACCTGATAAGGCATTGACATCGGTGCATGTATGTGGTGTACTGAGTATCCTGTGGTTTGCTTTGATCCTTGCCCCCACCCCCTCCCATCATACTAAAATGCACATTGTTGTCAGACTGTGTTGTTGCCATCGACCTAACTGACCTGGGGTCTGCCTTTGTTGTTGGAGTCCTGCAGGTTTTCCCTTAACCTGCCTGCATCTAAAGGCAGAATGTATCCTGAATTTCTTTGGTTCGTTTCATCTTAGTACGGATGACTGCTTGAACACGTCACTTTGTGACGCGTTTCTTTCCACTGACACAACAGCTCAGTACTTTTTGCTTCTTTCCCGATAAAGTTGCACTTTTGTTCTGATGTTGGAATGACCACAAACCCCTTCTAGTCTGGCCTGGATATAAATAAATACTCAGCTGGAGCAAAACCAAAGCAGTAGTAAAATGTGGATGATGGAGGGCAAATACATGCACTTCACCTTTCAGGATTTTTCTGAACTTCTCCTGTATTTCACAAATAAAGAATTCTATTACAAATACCCAGCAGGTGTCAGTGATACTTTTCCCTGCCCATGCTGAAACACTGATATTCTGGTCTTAAAGGACAGTGGTGACATAAGAATGTGAATGTAAATCAGTCTGGTTATAACCTACTTTTCCTCTCCAGCAGACTCTGTCAGACTGGGATCTGCTTCACTATTTGGTTTAGATCATTTAGCTGATGTCAGGCACTTGCACATCAGCAGCAGTACGATAGTTCAGTGGCAGCTCTGTGAGACAAAACTGCATTCATGGAGCCTCTTTCCTGGGTCTGGGCTAGCAGTTCATTGCTGATGGCTATTCCAAGGACTGGAGAGAGGTTCCCATGCAGCTGAGCCACAGCTCTATGTCTCTTCTGCTGCTCTCCCAAGATGGGGCCTTATCCCCTGACTGCTTAGTCAGAGTCTTGAGACAAAACAAAATGTGGGTCTGGGTCCTGTTTTTTACCTCACTCAGCAGACCCTCAGGTGTAGCAGCATTCAGAAAAAATGAATGAATTCAGGTCAGCAGATTAATCTGAGGTGTTTGACTTCACCAGTAAGCAGTCCAGAGGCAGTATTCTAACATCCTGAACAAGAACCTCTGAAGTATAGCTTGTAGCTTATTGGGGTGAATTATATGTTGCCAACAGCAAGGTTCAGTAGGCTACTGGCAGTGGAATTTTTCAGGTGAAAACCAAAATGTAACGTTTCATTTATTTCAAAGAAATGAAGCTGATTACCATTATTGCTGAGATTTGGAACCTAGCAGTTAAATGTCATCTTTGAAAACAGCAAGTTAGTTTCTGTTCGTTAGAGAAAAACAACTTCCCATGAGTGTCAGTGTGTACTTGTTATTATTTGTAATGAGGTAGTCATTTCGAAGTAGTCAGAAACTTGAGATGTATCTCAGACTGTCCTCACAATCAAGTCTACCCAGTACAAATACATATCTGAAAAAAAAGAAATAAACTGTGAGAGCGAAATTCTGCACAAATTCACAGCAGCAAAAGAAGAGTCTGTGTTTAGAATCTCGGGGTATCTGCTTCTTGCAGTACCATTTCTTCACACATAACTACATGGATGTAGTTGAGGGTTGCCTTTAATACCATTTCTGCTGGTTGTGTTTATCTGCATCTTGCACTGCTGTTGGAAGGAAGAAAGTATGTGGGTGCATATGTGTATATGCCCAGAATTCCTTGCAGCTGTGCAGTACAGTGTCTTTGTATGTGAAGACGCATTGTCTGAAAAAGCAGCTGCAAGTTTAAACTCAGTATGCAGTCAGAGGAGGAGGAGAAGAGGGTCTCAATAGGATAAGGTGTAATTCACACACAACTTACAGATTTTTGCCTTTATGCTTGCGTAATTGTTGCTTGTTGTTCTGGTTCAGACAACTAATTACAGAACTGAAACAATTTTAGAAATTGCAAGGAGCAGAATGACTAGGCTAGAGTTCAGAATTAAAACATTATCTCAGATCCATGTACCACAGATGCACAGCATTACTACTCACTGTTTTTATTGTCATTTTAAAAAGGTGAGTTGAATTCCTATGTTGCCTGATGCATAAGATGGTGTTTGGGGAGTTTTATCAGTTAAGTTAACCACAGATAAGTGGTTGGTTTAGGTTATATTAATTTCAATTAGCAGAGGAGTCACACATCCAGAGTACCTGGCTTTTTGGTAATAGGCTTGGCATCAACTCTTGGATGTTGATAGCAACAGGAAAGCAGTTCTTGTAACATTTGGTAAGATATTTGAGAAAATGGTTGCCAGGTTTGCTTAATACTTAGTATAAGATGGTTGATTCCTGTTCTAGCAGTATAGCATGGCAGCAAAAAAAAAAAAAAAAAAAAAAAAAAACCCAAAACCAAACAGCTTGACTTGGTATTAGCAGAGCTTGGTTTAGAAAATAAGTTTACAATACAAAATAAGTCATTATGTTGACTGCTGCACTGCAGAACGAATGCTGTTTCAGGTGTTATTTTCTAAGTTTCTTCTAATCAGAACAAATTACTACAGGAAGCAGCAGATTTCATTATAAGCTAGGCTGCTTTGCTAGTAATTTTAGCCTTTACTTTTAGGAAAAAAAAAAAAGATGCCAGCTTATTACATGATCTCTGAGTGTTGTAATAAAAAAAGTCAGTCTTGGGAATGTGATGTTCAGCTATTTTCTCTGATCTGTAGGGTGCAGTGTTGATGACCCAAGTCATCTGTCTATGCCTGTGAGCCCTAAAAAAAGTGTTGATAGTGATCAGGGAGTAGAACAGGAAATGTGGCAAGGTCCTCAGAGTAAAGTCTGAGGACTTCCAAAATGAAACCTCCTAGAAAAAGAAGGGGAAACAGAAGAGTCATAGCAGAGAACAGGTAGAAAAGTCATGTAATTGCATGAGGACCGCCATGCCCATTTCCTTGGGTGATCGTATTCAAAGGAATAGGAAGGAATTAGTTACAACAAGCAACCCAAACAGCTTTTATGAGATCATGAGCAAAGCCTTGTGTGCAGAGCCTAAAACAGCTCACGAGGAAACAGAAGGTAAATATGCTATTATATCATTGCTTCTAAAATCAGCCTTCTTGATTTTGATAGAGCCCAATTTTTTTTGGTCTCTGACTATGACTTTCCTATTGAGTAAACCCTAAGCTCATTCTTGAGTTACTTTTCTGATGATTTGCAAGGGCATTGAAAGAAGACCTGGTGCTGTGAGCATTCAGACAGCTCTAGCTCTGCGTTCCTGGGATGTTTAGTGGCTTAGGGCTTAGGGAATGATGACACAGGAAAGTGGGGAAGCTGTTTGGCTTCAGGTTTGCACAGTGCAAAAGAGCAGGCATTTCAGAAAGTCAGACCTTTTGTCCTGTACAAGAAGTCACGTGTACTTAGATCAAATCTGTAGCTACTATAGCTCTGCAGCTATACCTAGGTGTAAACACAGAATAAAGCAGCTGGAGAAATAGTAGGATTTAATTTGTAGAAAAGTTGAGCTGCATAGTGCTGCAGAAAAGAGCAATTAAAGTGTGACAGTAAGTCTGCCTGGCAGTTTCTAGCCACTGTTATTTGGGCTTCTGTACCCTCTGCAAGGCAGCAGAGACTCAACTTGGTGCTTTTGTGAGGTTGTCCCAAGCTAGCAAGTGTTGTTTCACCCTCAGGGCCATATCTGGCAAGCTCTGGTATATTAATATCTCTGTAATGTGAGGCAACGTGTGGCCTTCTGTACAGAGACTTGACATATTTATAATTTGACAGCACCCTTTCCCATGTAAGACAGAAAAAATTTTGAACTGCAGGAAGGCTGAGCAACCTGCCTCATGTCACAAAGTAACTGCATCATAATCCGTGTTCTCGGGAGGAGTGGATTTCTAAGCAGTCACTAGGAAATGAGATTTTTTGAAGTTCCTTCCTGAGTCTGACTTCTAGACATAATTCATTTGGGAGATCAGAAGGGAGGATCTTTTAGAAGGGAAACTGCTACTTCAAAGACGTATGCTTAGAAAGGACAATGAGTTTAGACAGCAACAGTCTTCTGTTATTAAGCACTTCTCTGTCTCTGGAATCATAACCCAGCCACCAAGTTCCTGTGAATATGAAATGACTGAGTCAAGCTGAGGAGGTCAAATGCTTTTCATATTTAAAACCTTGTAATCTTTTGCAAACTTAGGAGAGCAAAACTCTAAAGCTCTTGAGAGATGGCTTTAGAGACTTGTGGAAGCTGTTTGAGTTGTCTGCTGATACCTCTTGCACTTTGGAGTGTTGTTGTTAACATCCTTTTATACTTCCCTAATGGGAAAGCCTCACATGCTGCCAGTTACCAGCTTCCCAACTACGTGTGGTATTTTGAAGGGATCTGTTTCTCAGGTGTGATGGTAAGTGTTGCTTCTATGCAATTTTTAATTTTAAATTTAATGATATTTGGTTACTGTGCAGCAGTGTAATTGTGCTTTTAAAGAGAATGTGGGTTACTTTGGCAAAAATAGTGCAAGCAGAAAATCTCACTGAAACTGAAAGATGTGTGAATATATTGAATGACATGCTATGTATACTATTCATATAAGTGAGTTGGGAGGGTTGTTTTGGTTTGGTTTTCCTGGTGGCTCTTTCTTTATGTGTAATTTATGCTTGCATTCTGGAGGCAGGCGCTGTGTTGATTTAATCCTCTGTAGAGGTTGAATTAGAGCTCTTCTACCAAAACCAAAATGAAACAAAACCTAAAACAGTTTCTCATAACTATTTGGAGGTTTTTAAGAGCTGTATATAGTCCAGTATTTAGAGGACTGGATACAGCTCACAGTGCATCAAGTACCAATGTTGGTAGGCTAAATACAGAAGATTATCTCACTGTGGCTGGCACAGCAGGATTTTTTCCATTACATTTTTAATATCCTCACCTGCAGTGATAAACAACACGGAGTTGCCCGCTCCTCATACTATTCGCTCTCTGTTCATAAAGAACTGCAGCCTCAGGGATAGAAAGAAATTGTGTAATAATAGAA